GGTTCTCTGCCTGAGTCACTGGCTGGTGCCAAAGGCATGCTCCATTCTGCAGCCACAGCACCCAGCCCATGGGGATGGTCAGGCAGGGCTTGAGAAGACTCCTGCCTCCTAGGGCCTGGCTTATACCTACAAAAAACAGCCACCCATTTGCAGATACCCACTGCCAATGCCCAAGGACCCTGTCTTGCTGGCCAGTTCCCCTGTCCCTTGAACTTGATCCACAATAGTAACGAGTAAAAAGAAGGGGCCGGAGGAGGCCCTTCAGAGTCTGGGAAGAAGAGGTGACATAGAATCTGCAGTTTGGGCCAGGCGTGGTGGCTCACGCCTGTAATCCCAGCACTTTGGGAGGCCGAGGCGGGTGCATCACGAGGTCAAGAGATCGAGACCGTTCTGGTCAACATGGTGAAACCCCGTCTCTACTAAAAGTACAAAAAATTAGCTGGGCATGGTGGCGCGTGCCTGTAATCCCAGCTACTCGGGAGGCTGAGGCAGGAGAATTGCCTGAACCCAGGAGGCGGAGGTTGCAGTGAGCCGAGATCGCGCCATTGCACTCCAGCCTAAGTAACAAGAGTGAAACTCCGTCTCAAAAAAAAAAAAAAAGAATCTACAGTTTGGTTTCCAAGTTGTTAAAAACAGGCATAATTAAGACCAGCTCGGGCAACACAGGGAGAGCCTATCTCTATACAAAATTAACAAGTTGGCTGGTGCAATGGTGTGTACCTCGCATGCAGTGGTCCCAGCTGCGTGGGCGGTTGAGGTGAAAGGATCTCTTGAGCCCAAGAGGTTGAGGCTGCAGTGAACCATGATTGTGCCATTGCACTGATCAGGCAACAGAGCAAGATCCTATCTCAAAATAAAATAAAATAAATAAAGGAAAGAAAAACAGGCACCCAGGATCTTAGGAGACGGAGAGGACCTCCTTCCTGGACAACGGTCCCCTCTACCACACTCCCGGCCATTGTGAGACCTGCAGCGTGGGGAGATGAGCCCCAGGGGGCTGCCCACACTCTACTAGAACAGCCTGAGCCCATCAAATCTTTCCTTACTCAGATCCTCTCTGTGACTTTTTTTTTTTTTAGATGGAGTCTCACTTTGTTGCCCAGGCTGCAGTGCAGGTGTGCAGTCTTGGCTCACTGCAACTGCCACCTCTTGGGTTTAAGTGATTCTCCTGCCTCGGCCTCCCAAGTTGCTGGGATTACAGGCATGCACAACCACACCCAGCTAATTTTTGTATTTTTAGTAGAGATGGGGTTTCACTGTGTTGCCCAGGCTGGTCTCGAACTCCTGACCTCAGGCGATCCACCCACTTTGGCCTTCCAAAGTGCTGGGATTAAAGGTGTGAGCCACTGTGCCCAGCCTCCCTATGACAATTTAGAAAACATTATTATATACTTCATAAACAAAAATTATGAAAAATCCAAATCTATATAAAAGTAGAGAGCACAGTATAATAAATCTAATATACTCCTCTCTCAGCTTCAACAATTACCAACACGTGGCCCCCGCTTTTTTTTTCTGAGACAGAGTCTTGCTCTGTTGCCCAGGTTGGAGTGTAGTGTTTGATCTTGGTTCACTGCAACCTCCACCTCCCAGGTTCAAGTGATTCTCCTGCCTCAGCCTCCCAAGTAGCTGGGATTACAGGCGCCCACCACCACGCCTGGCGAATGTGGCCCATCTTGTTACATCTCTAACCCTACCCACTCTGGGACAATTTTATTTATTTATTGAGATGAGTCTCATTCTGAGACCACCTAATCTAATTCATCTAATCTAATCTTACTATCTACCTATGTACCTACCTACTTACCTATCTGTCTTGCTGCGAGAATGTTTTTTTTTAATAGGAAGTCTTATTTTGTTGCCCAAGCTGAAGTGCAGTGGTGGGATCACAGCACACTGCAACCTCTCGACTTCCCAGGCTCAAGTGATCCTCCTACCTCAGTCTCGAGTAGCTGGGACTACAGGAATGTACCAGTACAACTGGCTAATTTTTTAAAATTTATCTTTTGTAGAGATGGGGTCTGTGTTGCCCAGGCTGGTCTCAAACTCCTGGGCTCAAGTGAGCCTCCCCCGCCTTGGTCTTCCAAAGTGCTGGGATTATAGGCATGAGCCACTGTGCCCATTCTGGGACAATTTTAAAGAACAAATGGAGAAAAACCTGTTGGTTTATGACAAAGACTGAGTGTGGCAGGTACACTGGTTAGCTGACCTATTACATACTCCTAATTTCCTTCCTCCTTACATGTTTTCCATGACACTCACTTTTCCAGCCTTCCCTACAGCTAGAGGGAGTTCAATGACCCAGCTATGGTCAGTGAGACTAAATAAAAGTCCAATATGAACTCTCATTGTAAGATGACACATGTACATAATACATACATACAGGTGTACATGTATCAGCCATGGGAAGTGCTTCATTAGTGAGATGAAGTGAGGTCAGTACAGGAGGCTTTTAAAGAGGTTCCATGTAGATCAAAAGAGCGACAACTGAAGTCAAGGCAAATAGCACAGTTAACAGTGGGAAACTGTCAGACTCCAAAGCAGAGATCTACAAACTGGGAAACAGAGCACCTGTAACAGGATCCACACAAGTAGCTATGTATTCCCTGACAGGGGCTTGACTAGACGAGAGGGGCTTTTTTTCCTTTTTGAGATGAAGTCTTGCTCAGCCACCCAGGCTGGAGTGGACTGGCTCATTGCAACCTCTGCCTCTCAGGTTCAAGTGATTCTCCTGCCTCAGCCTCCTGAGTAGCTGGGATTACAGGCACGTGCCATCACATCTGGCTAATTCTTTTTGTATTTTTTAGTAGAGACAGGGTTTCACTACATTGGCCAGGCTGGTCTCAAACTCCTGACCTCAGGTGATCACTTTCCTCGGCTTCCCAAAGTGCTGAGATTATAGGCGTGAGCCACCACACCTGGCCTACAGGTGATTTCTAAAAGACTGATGGAGAGTTAATGGGTGACTGTGTCAGTGTGGGCAGTAACCCTGCTGGGAAAAGACACAGCAATCAAGAGACAGCAAAAAGGAACCAATCTTTCCCAGGGTACAGATGCAGAAGACTGTGTGCAGGGCTGGATCCTGAACAAGAAAGGCAGGGCCCAAGCACACAGTTACGACTTTCACTGACACATCTGACTTCTCCCTTCGTGCCTCAGAGCAAAACAGGAGCAAACCCACCTATGAAAAGAACCCAGCAGGCTTTTGCAGCTTTTGTCTTAATCCTTTAGGCTTCAAAGGTGCTAACATTTGCTAAAAAGAAAACCCTAACTTACCATGAACTCAGTACCATTCATTTTATTGGCTTCCAGATCATTTTTCAAGCAGGGAGAGAGCCAGCTCGTGTGCTGCTGAGACACTGGCTGCCGCGATGAAGAGCTTTGTGAAATGTAATGGTACAGGGACTCAACTCCAGAGAAAAGTTAGGGAAAGTCGCCAAAAGGTGATGAATGACAGATGATGAACTGGAGAGTACCATGTGGGAGGCATTCACATCCAATCTTGGCTGCTACCTCCAGAAGGTCTGGATATCCTCTCATCAAAATACTGGCTGGTCTTAGGTTATTCTTTTTTTTGTTTTTGAGACAGGGTCTCACTCCCTTTGCCCAGGCCAGAGTGAAGTGGCACCATCTTGGCTCACTGCAGCCTCAACTTCCAGGGACTAAGTGATCCTCCCACCTTAGTCTCCTGAGTATGTGGGACTACAGGCATGCACCACCATGCCTAGCTAATTTCTTCTTGTATTTTTGCTGGAGACAGGGTTTTACCATGTTGCCCAGGCTGATCTTGAACTCCTGAGCTCAAGCAATCCACCTGCCTCGGCCTCCCAAAGTGCTGGGATTACAGGCATGAGCCACCTTCCTCTGTTATTCTTATGTCCCACTTGGGACCATAACAAAGACCTTGCAGGCTGCCTGTTGCGATGCTGGCCTGAAATGCTCAATCATCATTTTCAGAATTATTTATCAGAGGGGATGTGATCAATGTTAGCTTGTAAACTACCTGTCTGAGTAATAAGATCCATAGCCCATAACCATCTAGTGTTGAGTCAAGTCTTAGTTGCTACAAGTTCTGACCACATTAGAGACCTAGACTGGGAGACGTGCCATAAACTAGTACTCATACCCGCCGGGTCTGTCATTAGCTCACTCCACCCCTTGGAGGTATTGGTGTTATTCATGCCATTTGCAGACCAGAAAATGGAAGCACAGGAAACTGACCTGTGGTCAAGGTCGCAAAGCTGGTACAGCAAGAAATGGAATGTAGTCTTAGGGATCCTGTCATCACCCAAACCTGTCATGTTACTCGGGTAACACACCTGAACATGCAGACACACACACGCCAGGAGCAGGCTATGGGATTTCCTGCTTTAATACAAATGGTCTCTGTCCCTTTCCCCCTTCTCCAAGGATTTGTATGTTACTCTCCTCCCGGCTGTTCTGCAAAGAACGTCCAACTTTAGTAAGCAGGAAGTTTGGAATTTACATTTTCTTATGAGTATAAAAAAGAAAATACTTCAGAAAATTCTCTGACAAACTAAAAATAAATGAAGTATTGAGTGGGAGCACATCTGAATTTAACTTTTCTTTGGGAAAAGGAAAAAGGCTGAAGGAAAAAAACGGCTAATTCAGCAATAATATATCCTTATTTGCATGGATATATTATTGCTGAATTGGCAGTTTTTTCCCTTCAGCCTTACATGCCATCAGCGGGAATCCTTTCAGGAAGGAGAGATCAGGAGAGATGCCCGAGTGGAACCAAGAACAGACCGCGAATGGGGCCTGGTGTTCCAGCCACACTAGTGAGCCTGCTCCTCTAGGTCTTCCAGGCAAGGCTGACTGCAGAAAGAGCCTCTTGGCCCCAGAAAATCTACACCCAAGTTGGTCAGCTCTCTTTACTATGCCTGATGAGACCTCTGCCAGCCTGGACAGACCTGGAATGTGCTGGCTTGAACTGGTTGGGACTTTGCAGCAGAATAAAGGGAAGGTGAGTGAGGTCGTCATCTTCGCCAGCCTCTCACAGGACCAACTTTTATTTATTCATATAAGGACAAATTTTTAGAAGTAAAGTGAATGAAATCATTTGTGATTAAGATATATAGACAAAACTTTGATGTAGAAAAAAAAGACCTTGCTGGGAAACAGTTGATGAGAAACACTGGAAAACATTTCACAGACGCACAAAAAGCTCACATTGTAAACAGGATTAAGCTGCTCTTGATTTTGCCCGTAACATCAAGGTTTCATTTTGCTCAGCCTGAGATCTCGCTCAATTTCAAACTGCCTGTGATCCACTCGGTCGAGGAAAGCTTTCCGTTCAATGTACCTAGAAGAGGATGAAAACAGTGTTTTGTCAGCAGAAACCGGTAGGAGAAACTCCTCCCCTGCCCGGTCCCATCCCCCCAGACATAAACTGAGTTACGGTGAATGCAAGCAGAGGGACACAGCTGGTGCTGAGAGTGACCACCCATGACGATTCCAGTACAATCCACACCACTCACATTTGGTCTAAAACAGAATGGTGAAAATAAAGTGAAGCCGGGCGCGGTGGCTCACGCCTGTAATTCCAGCACTTTGGGAGGCTGAGGTGGATAGATGACAAGGTCGGGAAATCAAGGCCATCCTGGCTAACATGGTGAAACCCTGTCTCTACTAAAAATACACAAATTAGCTGGGCATAGAAGCATATGTCTATAATCCCAGCTACTCAGGAGGCTGAGGCAAGAGAATCACTTGAACCCGGGAGATGGAGGTTGCAGTAAGCCGAGATTGCACCACTGCACTCTAGCCGAGGCAACAGAGCGAGACTCCGTCTCAAAAAAAAAAAAAGGAAAAAAAGAAAAAGAAAATAAAATGAAAAGGAAGGTAATAGTTTATCAAAGGGAAAGCACATTAGAGGCTGGGTGGCAGGAAGATGTTGCAATTTTCTAACAAGACTTTAAGGGAAGAACACGGGTTTACACAGGCATGGATTCAAGTCCTAGCTCTAGCTCACTTATTAACAGGGCAAAGGACTGAACATCTCAGAGCCTAACTTTTCTTAGAGCAGCATGGTGATGCTGTATTTCTTGGCTTTAGTGGTGCTGAATTGGTGGGTGAGAGAAAGCTATGCCTCCTGCATACATACATCAAAATGTGAAAAAGAGGCATGTGGAAGTGAAGGAAGGAAGACAGTAAAAATGACCTCACAGGGCTGCTGTGAAGGTGAAGTGAGCTGAGGTTTACAAAGTGCACACTTTAGAAGCGACTGAACTGCTCTGAGCTCTTTCCTTCCCCTCATCCTTTTCTCCTCTCCTAGGTATCCTCCACCCTGTTTGGGTCCAGGTTGCTTCTCCTAAGATGACAGAACTGTTTCCCTACATTCCTCTAAGAGAATGAGGTTAAGGGCCTCTGTGGCCTGTAGTCCACATACAGGATCCCCTTGAAAGGTGGGCACTCTGCCCCCTAAACTGGTCAGGTTCAGCAACTTTCCCTCTGTTCTCCAGGCAGGATGGGAAAGCGGCACAGGCATGCTTGCCGGGAGCAAGGCTGGCTGTTTAATGAGACACAGCTGCATCTTAATGCACCTCCTCGCCATAAAGTGTGCCATGATTTGCCTGGGGGGAGGAGATCTCCGCTGCTAATTAATCTATTGAGAGAGCAAAATTGCCCTCAAAAATGGGAGACATAATTGAATCTCTGCACTAATTTTTCTTTTGTTGCACTGTGGAAAATGTGCATCTGTCATTACAAAGTCATTACATTCATAGTGAGAATGCTGCCAGGTTCAGGAACCTGTGTTCCCCTGCTGCATCCAGGGCCCTGCTTTCCCTCCCAACAGCGTCCTGGGAAGTATCGGATGGTACTAACTACCCTGGCCCTAGGTTAGAGGGCTAGCCAGAAATGTACAGGCTGAGGCCAGAGGGCTGGAGATTTGAGTCCTGTCACCTGCTGTCTGTGTGACTCTGGGCAAATCACTTAACCTTGCAAGTTCTGTTTCCTAATCTATAATAATAACTCTGAAGGACCGTTGTGTGAATTAAATAAAACAGTGTTTACATCATGCCAGGCACAGAGCAGGTGCTCAATACCATGGTAGGTAATGTTGTTACCATGGTTTTAGGAAGCCAGCCTCCAAGAGGCTCCTGAGGACAGTAGATGACCCAAGTCTGGACTTAACGGTTTCAGTAATGAGGAACCAAAATACCTGGTGTGGCTTAGGGACTAAGCTGCGGTGTCTAAACCGTCAATGAGGCAAGAATGGCAGGAAGCGATGACAGGGCCTGCTCTTAGGTTTGATAAAAGCCATCGGGGTCAGAGTTGTCAGATTTGAAAAATAAAATTATAGGCTGCCTGGTTGCATTTGAACTTCAGAGTCCCTGGCAGTCAGGGAAGCTGCAGACACTGTGGACCCCTTTAGATAAAAAGTGAAAAAGGGGAGACAGGTAGGGAAGTGTAGACACCTAACAATGCACTCACTTCCCACCTCCCACCAAGACACCTGTGATTCTCAAGTGGGGGCTGCTAACCAAAATGGCCTGAGAGACTACACTCACTACAACCAAGCCAGCTTTCCACCCCAGCCCCACCAGCCCCAGGGAAGCTCACTACCATGGGGACTAGGATTTTGATGGCACTGCACTTTAACTGTCCCTTGGAAGTGCTAGGAGAAAAAAAGAGAGGTGAGGCTTAGTATGAGATCTTGCTGTGTTGCTGTTCACTTGGGGATTTAAGAGGAATTCCGCCTATGTTTCAACAGCCACCTTCATTGCTACCTGTCTGGAGATCAGGTGAAGGGAAGAAGTACGTGGGTTTAAGTATTTGGGGTCTTTCTTCCTGACTTCCCTTTATTTTTTTGAGACAGGGTCTTGCTTTGTTGCTCAGGCTGGGTACAGTGGTGCAAACACAGTTCACTGCAGCCTCGACCTCCCAGGCTCAAACAATATTCCTGCTTCAGCCTCTCAGGTGGCTAGGACCATAGGCACACACCACCACACCTTTTTTTTTGAGACAGAGTATTGCTCTTTCGCCTAGGCTGGAGTACACTGGTGCAATCTTGGCTCATTGCAACCTCTGCCTTCTGGTTTCAAGTGATTTTCCTGCCTCAGCCTCCGGAGTAGTTGGGATTACAGGAGCCTGCCACCATGCCCAACTAATTTTTGTATTTTTAGTAGATGGGGGTTTCACCATGTTGGCCAGACTGGTCTCCAACTCCCGACCTTGTGATCCGCCCACCTCGGTCTCCCACAGTGCTGGGGTTACAGGCATGAGCTACTGTGTCCAGCAGGCTAATTTTTAAATCTTTTGTAGAGATAGGGTCTCTCTATGCTGCCCATGCTGGTCTTCAACTCCTGGGCTCAAGTGATCATCCCACCTTAGCCTTCCAAGTGCTAGGCTTCCAGGTGTGAGCCGTCGGGGCCAGCCCTGACTCTCCTGTAAATAAGAAGTGACACTTAATGAGGATGCTAACTGGGTATGAAGAAAGGTCCTGCATGTTCTGGGTCCAGCTGACCTTGACACTTATCAAGAGTGAAGCCCAGGTTGGGCTCTAAACAGGCAGGTGCAGGCAGAGTTTAGGCTTAGGGAGGCCTCAGACAGCGGTGAGCGGCACATGTGCAGGATGCAACTGAATTCTCAAGGGCAGCCCAGACAAAGGCCATCAAAGCAGGTCTGGTGACTTTATTCCCTGATTCACAGCCATCTGCAGCTGCTAACAGGATGCCTGTGATGGCCTTGGTTTACTGCCAAGAGCTGACCATGAACAAAACTACTTGGCAGTGGACTCTCCCTGCCAAGACAGAAAAGGTGCTAAGAATGACAGTGGCTCTGACTTTGTGTGACTTTGAGCAAGACTGTGTAACTTCTGTGCTTTTTTTCCTTCTCTGCAAAACAGGAATAACAATCACAATAACCCTCTGGCAAAACAATGAAACTGTGAGAAGTGCTTTGTATACAATAAAACAAACAAACAAAACAGCTATAAGAGTTGTCATGGGGCTTGGAGTTCTTGCTTCCCATTTCTTTTTTTCTTTTGTATTTTTAGTAGAGATGGGGTTCTGCCATTTTGGCCAGCCTGGTCTTGAATTCCCGGCCTCAAGTGATCTGCCTGCCTCAACCTCCAGAAGTGCTGGGATTACAGGCGTAAGCCACTGTGCCCTGCCGGCCTTGCTTCACATTTCTTCTGACTTGACCTCTACAGAACCTCAAAACCCAGGACAACTGAACAGACACCAAGAGACCAAACGTCCCCAAAAGAGGAAGGGATCATTAGGAAGGCCACATCCTCAAAGGTGGCCACTGAGACTCAGGATGTTTTCATGCACTTTAAGTGGGTCATGGCCCCAGGACAGACCCCCTTGAGGACGAGTGCAATGGGAATCAGGCTTTTGCTCTTGATCTGTCCGGGTGCTTTTCTGGCCTGTGCCCAGCTCCTTTGGGGGCCTAGCATGACTCAGCCTCGTCCACAGGGAAGCCCAGTGGTGGGGGTTGCATCATCCCTTTCTGCTCCCATTGCCTTCTGTGGCCCATTTAAGAGACTCTTCACTTTCTTTAATAAAATAAGAAATGATTCCCATTGCACTCGTCCTCAGGTGGGTCTGTCCTGGGGCTGTGACCCACTTAAAGTACATGAAAATATCCTGAGTCTCAGTGGCCACCTTTGAGGATGTGGCCTTCCTAATGATCCCTTCCTCTCTCAGGGACATTTGGTCTCCTGGTGTCTGCAGTTGTCCTGGGTTTTGAGGTTCTATAGAGGTCAAGTCAGAAGAAATGTGAAGTAAGGCCAGGCACTTGCTTCCCTTTCTTTAATAAAAAAACCAAGGGATTTTCTAGCTTTTCCTTTCAGAACCAGGTTAGGCTCTGACATCTTTTGAATCTTCCAACCCAAATTATTTATCTGGCACCAATTTTCCTGAGATCTAGGCCAATGAAGAGGGAGGGAGAAATCGAAGAAGAGGACAAGAGAAGGGTAGAAATTGATACCAGGGAACATGTCAGTACAAGGTAAGCATCCCAAATCCAAAAATCTGAAATCTGAAGTCCTCCCAAATCAGAATCTTTTAAAGCACTGACAAGACACAAGTGGAAAATTCTACACACGACACCTTTGCTTTCTGATGATTCAACATACGCAAACTTTGTTTCAAGCACAAAATTATTTAAAATACTGCATAAAATTACCTCTAGGAATTGTGTATAAGGTTCGCACTTGTTTTACATATAAAACAAATGAATTTTGTGTTTAGACTTGGGTCCCATCCCCAATATTGCTGATGATGTAAAAGCAAATATTTCAAAATCAAAAAAAGGTCTGAAATCCAAAACACTTCCAGTCCCAAGCATTTCAGA